GACAAAAAGTTCCTTCTGAAGTTCAAACTAAGGCCCCTCACAGCCTTTATGCATGTATTTCTTCCCAGAACTCCTGGCTATGTTAATAACGTTTTCTTTGGAAACACATCCTCCTCTTCCTCAGATGAGCCCTTCTCCAGTTGCTGTGGGAGTTTTCTTATTCTAGGCAGAGCTCAGCTGCGGGCAGGTGGGTGGCGCACTGGTGGGGACGTACCTGTGCCTCTTGTCCCTCAGACTGCCCCCAGGTCCAGTGCGTGCACCCGTACGTGGCTCAGCAGCCAGACGAGCTGACGCTGGAGCTCGCCGACATCCTCAACATCCTGGACAAGACTGACGACGGTGAGGCCCAGGGACCTCCCCTCGGGGCCCCCAGGGGACGCTGCACGGAGCCTTGCCCGGCAAGAGATGACGGGAAGGTGGAGAAGCATCACCACTGGCTGAGGGGCTGGTGCCCTGCCATGTCTCTTGCTCCCTGAGACGTTCTGCTTGGACACCGTCCATCCTGGCTTCATTGGCCTTAACTCAGCATAAAGGAGGAATTGTTTTCACTGTCTCCCTGTCCTCCCCTAGAGCCGGGAGGCCCCACCTTTCCCCCTTCACAGTGGGCCCAGCCCAAGCGGGTGGCTTCGTGTCCCCTTCCCCTGGTCCTGGCCTCAGCGCCTCCATCACAGTGTGAGGAGACAACCAGGCACATCCTAACCCTGACCTCACCCAGACCCGACCCTGCCCTCACCCAGACCCGTACTTGCAGCTTCAGGTAAGCCTGTGACCACCAGGCTCGGTGCCTCATGTGGGCCAAGAAGCCGCCCCCAGCTCCTGGCCACCCCTGCTGGTGTCATCAGTACCAAGTGAAGTTCCTCCCAGCCCCTGTAGAATTGAACACGGACCCCCTTTCCCTTTTCAAATCACATCCCTGTCTCTACAGTAATTGCTCCTGATCCAAATCCCCAAAGTATACAACCGCATCTTCCCCGCTTCCTCCTCTCCTGCCGGGTCCTGGTGGAGGGCCTCAGGCTGGGACCCCCAGGGGAGGCCTTCCCCAGGGAGTCCCTCTTGTGAGCTGTTCCCAAAGGCCCAGGGGCTCTCCTACCCTCTTCCCATGGAATATAACTAGCCTGCTCCCCTCCCAAATGAGACCTGCAGAGGGCATGCCCCAGGCCTCTTAGCTCCGATCAGCCACAGGTCTGAGCAAAGACCTGGTGATCTCCAGGGGAGGGGAGAGGTGGAGAAACAGGGCAGGGAGAAGCCAGGTGACGCTGAGACTACTGGTGTTGCCAGTTCACGATGGGCCCTCTCCACTGACCACACCGGCCCTGAGGAGGCCAAGCCTGGGAGGATCTGCTCAGCAAGAGGCTAATGACACAGTCCAGACCGGCTAACCACGCACTCAGCTGCCACCCCCACCAGCCCCTTGAATGCCCCCAGCTCTTTGGAGTGGCCCTTGGGTCTCCTGGGCTCGTGTAGGGCAGCACAGAATTGCCGAGGGTCCCAGAGTGGGTTCCAAAGTCAACGTGGAACTGCGTGGCACGGAGCAGGTCTTGTTCTGTGCAGATGCCCACGAACCTCCCAGCTTATGGGGGTGAATCCGGTCTGAGCATCTCGGCAGAGGCGTGCAGAGCCACTGCGTTTTGGGAAAGACCAGCTGGATCCCTAGTGTCCTGCACACAGATGGGGGCCCTGGCTGGGAGGGAGCCTCTGTGCAGCCTGCGCCCTGCAGGAGCACCTGACTTTCCCTCCCTCCCCTCCCTGCACAGGGTGGATCTTTGGCGAGCGTCTGCACGACCAGGAGAGAGGCTGGTTCCCCAGCTCCATGACTGAGGAGATCTTGAATCCCAAGATCCGGTCCCAGAACCTCAAGGAATGTTTCCGTGTCCACAAGATGGATGACCCTCAGCGCAGCCAGAACAAGGACCGCAGGAAGCTGGGCAGCCGGAATCGGCAATGACCCCCCCACAGGGGGCCGGCGCGAGCAGGGCCTGCATGAGACCCTGACAGAAGGTGGGGGCTCTGGGAAGCACAGGCCAGCGCCTCCCCAGGTGGCAGGATCTGGCTTGGGGTGCCCGGTCCTCATCCCTGCCCACACAGTGCGTGCTCATGTGTCTTGGCCCCTTGCTCGCAAACTGGATAAAGGGTGCCCAAGCCTCTCCTGATGCATTGGTAAACAAGAAGGTTTCAGCAGTATTACACCATCTCCCTCGTGCCTCCGAGGGGGTGGAAGGGGGTGGGCACACTCCAGGGCCCCCCGCGCCCCTGGCCCCCTGGGACTAGAAGAGGCTCCCAACCCAGAGTGTCCCTGTGGGAGGCCGGCAGAAGGTGACAATTGACATGATTTCCTGCACGCGTCCTCCTCTACCTTGGAAGCAGTTAGAATCCACCAGGCACAGATGGGGCCGCCCTTGGTCTCCAGTTCCCAGGACTGAGAGCCCAGCTGCCCCTGTTCACCCTTCCCCAGGCCTCTGCCAGCCTCTGGCTGCACGGTCAGGCCCTGCTCCACAGCAGGCCTGCCAGAGCTTGGCTGGGGACCCCTCCCACCTCTGGCTCCCTGACGGGCTGGAGGTAACTTGTGTCTTCTAGCCCCTTAAGGAGCCCAGGTGTTTTAAGGAATGAATTGGTCACTGCATCTTGTATCGATTATGGTTCTGAGAAAAGCAAATATCACTTTTGGCTGCATTAAAAGAAGCATCATATATAAAATAAAAGAGATGAAGGTCTACTCTTTATTGCCCTGGTACACAAAGGAAGGGGGTGTTTGGTTCTAGGCAGTGAGAGAGGAGCACCCCTTCAAGGCCGGTGGAGGAGGCACTCCCCAAAGGAAGGGCTCGAGGCGGTTTCCCAAGGAGGAAGGAGCAGCCGGGGCCTTGTCTCAGCGTGGGAACAGATTTGGGCCTCCACTTGTAGGACTCCAGAAACAGAAAGGGTTGTTTGACAGAGCTGGGGGCGCCCCTCTGCTGCAGTGGAAGTGAGGACACAGCTTCGGAAGACTGCAGAGGCCCCGAAGTGCCCATGGTGGGGGGCCCTACGGGGATCTCACCACAGGCGTGGGGCTGGGACTTCCGCACTGCCCAGACACAGGCCCTGGGCCCTTCACACCCTCAGCTAACCAGAGCTCCACTCCCGCCCCTCACCCCAGCTCCACCTCAGCCTGCCGAGGGGTCCTGTGTGCCCAGGACCACACTCTGCCAGGACACAGTTTCCCTGCTCTCCAGAACAGGCCTCTGGTTCAGATCCAGTGGGACTTTGTAGTGTCTTCCCACAGGCCACAAAAGGGTGCTCGTTGGTCCTGGGACCTCAGACCCTCTGAGAATCACAGGGATGCCAGGCGTGTGACACTGGTTCCACTGGAGAGGGAGGCCCCCCTGGTCCCGGTGAGGGGCTGTGATGCACCCGTTGGTGGGAGAGTGCTTGCAGAGTGAGGAAAGGGAAAGAGGGGGGCCATCTCTTGTCCCTGGAGGGGAGGGTTGGGAAGGAGTTGGGTGGCCATTTATCCCCGTGCCTTTTGAGGCTGGAAAACAGCCTGTTGAGTTGGATCATCCAGTCTGATGAAGGCTTTGGTTACTCAAGGTTATGTGAGATGAAGTAAGTTAACCAATTAGGAAAATAGGTCAGTTTCATAGCACTCCTTTATAAGCAGAATCGTTTAACTCAGTGTGTTTTGGGGAGACTGGTCGAGTGGGAAGCTGTTAACAGACTTGGATGAGGCCTTGGACCCCATCCCCCAGTGTGTGAGAGGTGCGCGGGCACCACCTGGGCTCCCCAAGTGTCCAGGAGGAGAAAGTCATGGCAGGAAACTGCCATGGGGAGCTCAGGGACACCAAAGAGGCCAAAACAGCTGCTAGAGAAAATGAGTTTTTGAAAAAGAGGAGCAGCTTGCCCTCCAGCAGCATTGCCACTCAGGAATCTTCAGAAGCATTAAGCTGTCCCCAAGGGGTCTGTTGGCCTCCAAACTGTCCAGCCCTTCCCTCCAAAGTCTCTGGGGACTGGGGTAGGGCCCAAGTTCCCGCTTCCCTGCTGCGCTGAGCAGGTTAAATGATCAAAGGATCGAAGTTTACATCTCAATGCTTCCGAGGTGGGGACCATGGACCAGGCTCCTCACCCTCACTCCGCCCCGACGCTCTGAGAGTGAAGTCGGGTAAGAAGAGCTGGGAAAGCCGTTTTCTCTCCCTGAACAGGCGCGGGGGCTGCCGGTTCGGCCCAGCCAGGCCGAGGGGGAGAGTAGGAAGCAGGGGCGGGCAGCGTCCAGCATCCACCCTTGACTCATCCTGCTCCTGAGGCTCCCTAGGCAGAGGGGTTACCTGGGGGCCTGGGGCTGCGGGTCTGAGCCCTCGGATGGGGCCCTGGCTGCGGGACTCAGAGTCACAAGACGTCCCCCAAAATAACGCGGCCTCTGGCTGGGAGCGCCGACGGCCCCCGCCCTCCCCAAGCCCGGCCTCAGGGAGCGGCAGGTCCCGGGGTCTCCGTTGGCCTCTCCTGCCCTCGCGCTTCCCTCCTCACGGAACGCTCTGAACCCCAGCGAAGTGGGATGGGGGGCAGGCCCCGGGGAGCGAGGTGAGCGCCTCGGCCCGGGCCCAGGCAGAGGAGGCGGCGCCGGGAGAAGGGGCCACCCGTGGCCCCGGCAGTGACGGTGCCCCAGGCCGGGCTAAGACCGCTGGCAGCTCACCGGCTCCGATGCCCCGGCGGCCCCGGCGCACGCGCACCGCGCACGCACATGCGGCGCGCTCCTGCGGCACTCCAGCCGTGGTGCACGCGGACGCCGGGCCGCGCGGCCCTGCGCGCGCTCACGTGCACGCCACACGCGCGCGGGCTGGGACACGCTGTGTGCTCACGCACGTCCCGGCGCCCCTGCGGGGAATTCGGGCGCGACTCCGGCCCCACGCGCGTGCACGGCACCCACCCTCGCCCCCGCGCCCACCCCCGTCCTGAGCCCGCGCCTGCGCGCGTTCACTCTCTGGCACACCTGCACGCGCGGACACGCACGCGCAGACATACGGGCGCGCGAGGAGTGCAGCCGAGTCGCGCCGCGGCCGGGCGCGGCCCCTTTATTCGCTTCAGGAGGCGGAAAACTTTCTCAGCGCGACGACCACGAGCGCCAGCACCACGCAGGTGGCCAGCAGGGCGGCGATCACGATGGCCGCGATGGCGCCGGGCCCCAGCGACCCTGCGGAGGACGGAGGACCATGTCACCTGCCAGCCCCGGCCCGGCCGGCCCTCCTCCCCGCGCCTCCCGCCCCTCCTCATTTCTCCCTCCCCCGCCCCGCTCGTACCGCCGCCCTGGTCCAGCCGCTCCTGCGCGGTGCTGTCCTCGGGTCCTGGCGCGACGGTGGGAGCTGGGGGACCGGTGTCTACGGTCTCCCGGCCGGGGCTGGTGCTCTCCACGGGGCCTTCTCCCGACGGCAGCTCGGCCGGCTCGTTCCACAGCGTGGGCACGGGCTCCTGTGGAACATCATCTGCAAAGCCAACGGGAGTCGCTGGGGCCCCAGGTGACAGGGCCGACAGGGACGTCACCCCCTACCTCTAGGTTAAGCAAGTTGCAAGTTGCGGGTGGCGCTGTATGAGGGGTCTGGGCTCAGCGCTGCACTAGCCCTGACATTTCCCAGGCTGGGAAGCTGAAGCCAGTGCATTGCTGCCTCCTGTAGGGCAAGGCCGGTGGGTGGGCAGGAGTGTCTGGTCAGTGTAAGGGAGGTGCCCCCCGAAAGCCCTTCTCTGCTCATAGGGTTGGGAGTTGGCAAGATTTGGGGTACCCAGGGACCAGAGAGCAGGAAGGAGACATTCTCAGTCCCGCAGAAAGCACAGGCTGAGATGCCTACATGATAACCCCCGCTCTGTACCCTCACCAGTCAGCCCACCCCAGTTGTCCTCTCCCGCCCATCACCCCAACGCTGGGCCATCCATCCCCCGCAACCAGATGGGAGGCCCCAGAAACGCTGGAAAGCTCAAGATGGGGATGGTAGGTCCGCTCTTGGCCTCTCCAGCCCAGCCAGACCATCTGACATTACAGTGTTGGCAGAGCAGGGCCTGCCCATGTCCGATTCTCTCTCTCTCCATCTCTCTTTTTTCTTTGAAACAGTCTTGCTGTGTCGCCCAGGCTGGAGTGAAGTGGTACGTTCTCGGCTCACTGCAGCCTCTGCCGCCCAGGTTCAAGCGATTCTCCTGCCTCAGGCTGCAGAGTATCTGGGACTACAGGCACCTGCCACTATGCCCAGCTAATTTTTGTATTTTTAGTTGAGACAGGGTTTTGCCATGTTGGCCAGGCTGATTTCGAACTCCTGACCTCAGGTGATCCGCCTGCTTCAGCCTCCCAAAGTGCTGTGATTACAGGTGTGAGCCACTGCAGCTGGCCCCATGCCCTAATCTCAACTGGGATAGAGACTGATCCAGGGACACTCGACCCTCAAACAGTCCCTTGGATGAGCTTGGGGATGTCCTGACACCTCATCTCTTTGACTGCAGCTGCTCTGTGGTGTGGGAACTGCTTTTATCCCATTTCAGAGACAAGAAAGCCAAGGCTTGAGGATAAGGTGCCGCGACGGTGAGCACAGGTGAGCTGAAGCCCTTGGACGGTTGCAGGAGTGGTTATGCTGCCCAGAAACGGTGTAGGGAGGTTGCCATTCTGTGAACAGACCCTGCCGGCCAGCCTGTGACCCTAGGGCACCTTTTGTCCCTGCGGGTTCCATCCCTGAGCGCTGGGACAAGACTGAAGCCAGACACTTGCCCTCCTGTTAGGCTCACCAGCACCCAGAGAGGGGGATGCTCCAGAGGACACAGAGGTCCTTCCTGGGTTTTCCGGCCAGTTGTGTCCATCTAGGGCAAACCACACAGAAACATCGGCCAATCCAGACTCAGGGTCAATCTTAAAGTAAATGGGCCTTCCCAAATGTCAAAGTCAGGAAAAACGAAGAAAGACTGAAAGGTTCCAGATCGGAGACTAAGGAGACAACTCAATGTTCCTGGACGGGGAGGGACAGGCCTGTGATTGGAGACGCTGGGGTCCGTTGATGAAGTTTGAACAGGGTGTGGCTTAGGACTGCCTCAGTGCTTATTTCCTGGTTTTGATAGGTGACTCTGGTATGTACGAGAATGTCTTTGTTCTTAGGAAGAATTTAGGGGCAAAGGAACATGACTTCTGCAACTTACTCTCAAATGATTCAGCATTCAGATAGAAAGAGGAGTCAGCAATGTAGCAAAATGTTGGCAGTTGGCGAGACTAGGTGGATGGACACCTGGAGTTCATTGGATTGTAAAGTTCACATCTTTCCACAATAAAATGTTAGCAGGTCCCTGGCTTCTGGGCTTCTCTCAAGCCTGGAGAGGTCGGTTGCAAGGCTCAGCTCTGAGACTCAGCTTGCTGACCTTTCAACTGACCTGCCACATTCCCCAGGGCTGGCCCAAGGGAGAACCGCTTTCCAGAAAAGATCTCTGGCAGAAGGCCCCAGGGGTGGAAGGCCCACTGGCCCCCAACTGGGGGAGGCTTCCCTCCCGAGGGGCCCAAGGCTGGACTGCAGCACTGATGTCTGTCCAGCCTCCCACCAACCTTGAAGACCACCCTGAGAGGAGGGGAAGTGACCCAGCCAAGCCTCCCGTGTCGCAGCCAGAGAGGCAGGGGTCTGCAGCCATGCAGCCCCCATGGAAGGCCTCAGGCCCCTGGCGTGCTGCCTCAGGCTTCTGGGGGCTGGACAGGTAAAAGGCCTGAGTGTGCCCACCGCCTGGCAGGCGCCAGTGTCTAGGCTCACTGACTGCCTGAACATGTCCAAAGAAATGCACAAATGACACACCCAAGGTAGACTGGCAGGCAGGCACCTCCCTGCATCTGGAGGCCGCGACAGGGCTGCTGGGTACCAGGCCCAGCTGACCCGGGTGGCATCTGTGGGAATCAGTCAAGGAGTGGCAGACCTCCAGCCCCTGAGAAGGCAGGGCTCAGTCCCCGGGCCAGCGCAGCAGGGGTGAGCTGCCACCCTTGAGGGTATCCTCTGAACAGGGCAGTGGGGAGCCCCACTCAGGCCCTGTCCCTGTCTGTCCCCCATGACCCAGCCTGTCTCTACTGCCCCCACCACCAGACATACCTGCCCTGGCCTCCTCCCACTGTACACAGCCCCCTCCTGCCCAGCCAGGCCATGAAGCTTCCTAATCAGGAGGGCTGGGGCCTATCCTTGCTCCAGCAGGCTCTCCCCTGGACTTCATGCCCCAATTCACCTTCCTGACTTTTGAGATGGGGGTTCAGTTATCTTGCACAAGGAGGTAACTGTGTGAACACCAGCATCTTCAGCTGCTGCCTCTGGCCTGGGGCACACCTCTGGACGCAAGCCCAGTCGCTATGGGTCTGCAGCCGCTGGCCACCACAGGAATCCCTCACAGGCTGGCCCAGGACCCATCTGTACCCACGCAGCCAGGGCCCCAGGGGCCACCAGCTCCCTGCCAACCTAGTCTGGTGCCCAAGTGGCAGACACATGGGCTCGAAATGACAGCCCGCGCTCAGTCACTGACCCACCAGGAAAAGGGGTGCCGCAGCCATGGAGGAGCCGAGACACTTCTTATCCTCATCTGTGTTTCTAGAATTTGCTCCAGTAAGAAGGGAAAGCAAAGCTGAAAGGCAATTCCCATCTTCCCCCAAATCCATCCTTCTGGGAAGCTGGGAGCAGGGCAGTTTCCCAGCAGGAGTCCTGTCTGGGGAAGGCAGAGATGGGGCAGGAGCGAAGGTGTGGAGGACGGAACTCATGGCATGCCAGGCAGGCAGTGAATAGGCCAGGGTGACAGAAAGTGAGGGTGGCAAAGAGGTGGGGGCACCGAGGACCCCAAGAAAGTTCTATCTGCCTTGGCGGTACCGAGGCCCAGACTCCATTGACCAGAATTAGCCATGTGGTGTGACTACGCGCTCTGACCCAGGAAAGCGGGGGCTGGTGGCACTGCCACAGGCCTGGGCACCACGGGCTCTCTCCCAGCCCCACTGGCCCCAGCCGCCCTGCCTTTTGGTAAATAAGTTTGTTCTGACCACAGGGCCCTGAGGCCAGGCGCCTGTGCTCACAGACACCCTTTGTGTGGGCCATGAAGGGCCTTTTCATCCCTGCCCTGGCCTCCTGCCCACTCAGCCCAGCCTGCTACCACCTCAGTGGCTGAGGCCACAGGCTCCCAACAGGGAGGGCCTGGGCCTCAGATGGGGCCTGAGCCTCAGCCCGCAAGGCCACTCCTTCCCTTCCTGTCTGCTACAGGACCCCAGCCCACAGAGCACAGGGCCGTGTACACACCTGCCCAGAGCTCCCAGCCCAGGGGTGGGGTGCTAAGAGCCTCCCAAACGCTCTTCCCCCGAGAATGGCAAGAACAACAGCCAGAACCCCAGAGACTCCGGGGCTGGGATGGCATGGTCTGGCCCCTGTGGGGAGCCGCCCGCTCTTGGTAGAACACATGGAGGGAAGTGGGGCAGTGAGGCCAGGTGAGGTCCTGGCTGTCCCCAAGGCATCGTATGGTGGCAGAGGAAGCCCATCCGCCCACATTGATTAGGGACAGTCTGGCCCAGGAACTCTGGCCGGCAGCCTGGGCCGGGAGGGTCAGCCACACAGGAGCAGGAACCTGGGCAGGAGCCACAGGCAACCCGGGAGCCAGGGCCTCCCCTTCCGCCCACGTGGACCACCAGGCTGGAGAAGCAGCTTCATCCCGGTGAGGGGGCTGCAAAGATCACAGCCCCAGGATCCAAGCCATAGAAGATGCCACCTTCCCCTTTAGGTCCCTTCCCCCAACTCCTGAAGACACCGCATGGCTCGCTTAGGCTGGCGCCTCTTCCACCACGAGGGAGGCTGGCGCCCTCCCAGCCTGCGGGAGGACGGAGAGTTCTGCTGAAACCACCCGGCGCCAGGGAGGGGCTCAGACCACGGAATCCGCATTCCCCTGATGCTCACTGAGCGCTAACTGGATGTGGGGCCCGTCCCAAAAGCTCCACACATCTGAACTCACGAGGCCTCACAGCCCCCTGCAAGTGAGGCAAAGCGTGGCGGTGTCACCTTCCTACAGATGAGAAGGCACAGAGAGGTTAAGGAACCGCCCGGCCAAGACTGAGCACGCCCTGGCCTCGAGCTTCTTCCTGGGGATCCAGGGGCTCCTCGCTGTCACCCAGACCTCCCAGGGTGTGGCTGAGGGGGCCTCCCCAGGCCTGTCGTCCCCCAGAAGCTCTCCCCAGGCCATGCTCTCATGCTCACAGTCCACCTTTCTCACAGATCCATGGGCACTCTCCAGAAGGCCCAGGTTGCAGGGTCCCTGAAACCCTCTACTATGACACAGAAGCTGGCTGCCCTTTAGTCCAACTCCTGGCTAACAGGAACGAAGACCACCTGTAACCCGTCAGTGTCCTTTGTCTCTCAGGCTCTGAAGCCAGCCTGGGCCAATCTTCCTCTCCCCACAGGGCCCTTGGGAGCCTGCTGGAGGCCTCCCTTCCGTGGGACCCCAGACTTGGCCACTTTGATCTCAGTCCAGAGGTCCACACCGTTTTGCAGAGGGATCTTGGGCCTTGTATTCTCTCTCCCTCTCTCTGGAGCCTTTCCCAAGATGGGGACAGTACCTGGGTCCTCATTCTCTAAGGACATCGCAGAAACCAGCAGGGAAGATTTTGAAAGTGATCAGCAAGGCTCTGCACTCCTCTGGCCCCTCAGCCACTTGTCATGTGCCTGGTACCCCCGGCTGCCTCCCCGACCAGGGAGACTTCAGATTTTAAAGTGCTAGAGCAATTCCCATGTCCCCCCAACAGCAGAACATCCCTGGGCCTGCCCCGCAAGTCGTCCTCCTTCTTCAGAGGCCATTATCCCTGCTGCTAACCATTTCCTGAGACATGTATCCCACACAGCTGCTGCCAGCCGGCCTCACGAGAGCTCTTCACAGAATCGCCCCAAAGAGTGGCCCCATCTCCTGTGAGGGGCTTCCTCCCCAGTGAACGCTGAAGAATCTGGCCCCAAGGTAGTTATCGGCCCTGGGAGGCTAGTGGTGGCAGAGACAAGGGCCTTCACCCCTTACCTGTGAGCACCGCAGGGACCAGAACCCCGGAGACCAGCAGCAGCGCCATGCGCAGGGCCAGAC